ACTAGACAGTGCTACTCATCAGGCACTGTGTCAGACTCCTCGCATCGTCTTTCAACATCTTGTGGAGTGAATGCCAAGAAAATTGCCACAGTATTGAAGGCAAAATGTGGACCCACAAAGTCCTGATGGGGTGGTCATAATAATCTGGCCACTCAGTGTGTGTTCAGTGCATGAATTTGTGCATGGGTGGGGGCCGGCCAGCCTGGCCAGGGGGAGAGGACATGAGCCGGCCTGCCTGCTGGTCAAACTCCTGTTCAAGGGGACAATTTTCATATTAGCCTTTTATTATATAGGATATACATGGTGTGGCCAGATTATTATGCATTCAGAGATCATAATAATCTGGTCACTCGTTGTATTCTACCTTGACCCTGAGCCACACAGATAGAAATCTCACCAAACTCATAACCATCATCACTCTTCTCATTTTCGGTTCTTATAAGTGTATTTCCAGTATCACATGATCTCACGCATCTAGGGGAAATGAAGAACAACATAGAATGATGAACAAGAACAGACGCAGAGAAGGAGGCATGGATCAGACTGTCGGACCTCAGAGGGAGTGTAAGGGAGGGTGGGGACAAAGGGGAAAGATCAACCAAAGGACTTGAGTGCATACATATGAGCCTAACCACTGGTCAAGGACAACGGGGGGGTGGGGGCATGTGTGGAGATGGATGGTGGATGGGAGTGGGGGGATGAGGACAAATATGTAATATCTTAATTGATAAAGAAATTAAAAAGAAAGAAATCTCACCCAACTGTCATTAATGCTATGCTGTCGGGGGCACTCTTTAATTCTATTTCACACAAACAGGGAGCAAACCAATCAGACACTGACCGCACGGGTGGGCAGGAATCCTGTTGAAACAGGCAGGCCCTCCCAGATGCTCCAGCTTTGAGCAGACGCCGCGCAGCCTCCCAGGCCGCCAGTGGGTGTGCGCAACCCTTTGTCCCTGCCCTATGACTGCTGCTACGGAAACACAGTGTGACTGCCTGAGCACATGTCGAACTCACGGTCAAGAATCGTTTACTCGAGAGCGGCCAGGCCCGGGGGAGCAGCCGGGTCGGGTGTGGCCAGGCCCGGAGCAGCGGCTGCCAGGCTGGGAGCGGCCAGGCCCGGAGCAGCAGCAGCCAAGTCCAGAGCAACTAGGTCGGGAGTGGCAGTGACCAGACCCGGAGCAGCTGGTTGTGGAATGAACCAGAGCAACAGAGGCCAGGCCCTGAGCAGCCAGGCCCACGGCTGCCTCTCAGACATGGCCGGAAACTTTCGCAGGAACTTGAGGGTCTGCTGAATATGTGATGAAAGATTAGATCTGGATGTGTTGAGTTAGTATAGGGCTGGGGTGTTGATCTGTGAGTGCCTTGGGTGGGGCCTGGATGAGGCTGGTGGACCTATTGGGAAATGTCTTTTGTGTGAAGTGTATCATTGGGCATGTGGAGGTATTATTGATATGAGAAAATGCTAAGTAACTGATTTACTATCTGAAAAGGGATTTACTATCGGGGAAAGGGAGGGAAGAAGAGACTGAACATAAACTGTGCACCTATGGATGAGGACAATGGGGGATGAGGAGGGGGCGGAGGGTGGGGTGGGAACCTGGTGGAGGGGGGAAGAAATGAGGAACCTTTGTAATAATATGAACAATAAAGATTGATTTAAAAAAAAAAAAAAAAGAATCGTTTACTCGAATCTTTTTACTTATGGGGGGCAACCCAGGCCAGGAGACAGAGTGCAGAGTCCAGGCAGCGGGATGCAGAGCTGTAGTTGGAACAGACTCCTGGGGCCCTGGGTCTACCACCCACTTGCTGGGACCTGGGGCAACCCTGCTGGGCTCTCCTCCTCAGGTGGAGGGGTCTCAGCTGGCTCAGGCTGGTGTGTGGCCGTGAAAGACCTTTGTAAACACGTCTGTATGGTGGTTATGGTTTCAGATGAAGAAAAAAAATTCACGACAAAGGAAATTTGCAAAAACTTAAAAATGTATTTATTTAGAGATCACTTAAGCCCTCTTGGAAAGCAATTCCGTTAAGATCACTGATTGGGAGGAAAATCACGCTATTACAGTCAGAAGCAGAGAAGCCAGATTGGCGCAGAGCGGCACAGAGACACCGCTCATTTAGGACCCCGGCACGCGACCACGTGGCAGAGAACCACGTGGCGAAGGTTCAGTTCAAGATCCAGAACTAGAAGTAGCTCAGCACGTCCTGCTTGGTCTTGTTGGTCTGATAGTCGTGCAGGGCCAAGGCTTTGTTTTCGTGAGGGAGAGCCTGAAACACGCGGATGTGCACGAAGTCATCATCTTCAATTTGAACCTGGGAAGAGAGAGTCGAGTGAGGGGGGAAGATGCTGCCTCTGACCCCAAGTCCCCGTGCCTGGTGGGCTGTGTGACAAAGGCCCTGAGAGCCTGGAGTCCAGGGAATCAGCAGCTTGGGTGGGGACATTCTCATCTTCCTCCTTCGGGCAGAGTGGACCCATCACCCGGGCCAGCACCTGGGCATGCTACATTCACTCCTCAGAGCCCTCAGTTGCCTGAGAGGCTCAGTCCTCTCCTCCATGGAGTGCATGCACACTCATTTTATTTGTTTAAAAACATTTGTATTGAGGAGGATCTATGATGGCTGCACAGGTAAACACCTAGCCGCAGCCGCACACAACAATTTCAATAAAATACAACTAAAGTATAAAATGGACATTACCCAAAATTACAGGAAAGTCGACTGACTGGAAATTCTACAACGAGAAGCAAGGAAAAAACCAGAAGGAAGCGCGGAGGAGCTGTAAAAGCCTAAGGTACCGAGACACACGGCGCGGAGAGACAATCCCGGAAGCGCGCACATTGTGCGCAGAGGACGGACTGTTGACTCTGCTGCCATATTGCCCTGGCGGGAAGGAGACAAAGGCTCCAGACTGTGCTGGGCCCCCGATCCGACTCCTCTGAACCCCAGTTCTAGGCCAGACCCTGGGGACCCAGGCTCAAACAGAGGGAGCTGGGCTATAAGGCGGAACCCCAGGGGAGCGGTGAAAGGAGGTCCCGGAGGTGCGCACATCGTGCACAGAGAAGCGACGGTTGGCTGTGTCGCGGGATTGCCCTGGCGAGAAGGAGACAGGGGCTCCAGACTGCTCTGAACGCGACTTCTAACTGAACTGAACCCCAGTTCCGGGCTCATTGGGGGAGAGCCCACACTGTTTGGAAGCAGGCGAAAATCTAGGACACCCTTCTCTCAGAGATGCTTGCAGTGAGTACTGAAGGACCCTGGGGATTACTGAGACTCAGGAACCGCATAGGGCAGGGCTGACGGAAGCCAAGCCTGTAGGCTCCACTCTGAAACTCCACCCCATCAGGGAAGCTGTGAAAATGCCAAGACAGCAAAATAGATCACAAACGAAAGAAATGGAGGACAAAAAGCAACTGGATATAGAGTTCAAAACCACACTTATAAGGTTGTTCAAGAATCTCCTAGAAAAGGCTGATAAAATAAAGGAGACCTATGAGGATATGAAAAGGGATCAATTAGAAATAATAAGGGATCAACAAGAAATAATAAGGGATCATCAAGAAACAAAGAATACACTGTCTGAAATAAAAAATACTATACAGAGTCCTAAAAACAGAATGGAAGACCGCAAAAATCAACTCAAAGATTTGGAACATAAAGAGCCAGAAGACACTCCTCCGCAGACGCTAGAAGGCAAGAGAATCCAGAAAATTGAAGATAATGTAAGAAACCTCTGGGACAACTTCAAGTGAACCAACATCAGAATTATGGGGGTCCCAGAAGATGAGAGAGCAAGATATCGAAAACATACTGAAAGAAATAGTGACAGAAAACTTCCCCCACCTGGTGAAAGAATTAGACTTACAAGTCCAGGAAGCGCACAGAACTCCAAACAAAAGGAATCCAAAGAGGACCACACCAAGACACATCATAATTAAAATTCCAAGAGCAAAAGACAAAGAGAGAATATTAAAAGCAGCAAGAGCAAAGAAGGTAGTTACCTATAAAGGAGCACCTATATGATTGTCAGCTGATTTCTCAACAGAAACCATGCAGGCCAGACAGGAATGGCAAGAAATATTCAAGGTGATGAATAGTAAGAACCTACAGCCAAAAATAATTTATCCAGCAAAGCTATCACTCGGAATCGAAGGTCAGATAAAGAGCTTCACTAATAAAAAAAAGCTAAAGGAGTTCATCACCACCAAACCAGAATTATATGAATTGCTGAAGGGGGTTCTTTCAGAAGAGAAAGTAAATAAAGATAAAAATTATGAACAACAAATACGTAACTATCAACAAGTGAATCTAAAAACCAAGGAAATTAAAAAAAAAAATCTCTGATGAACAATATTAACTGTTGAATATAATAGAATCAGAGGTATGGAAGGGGAGTGAACTGACGATTCTTGGGGAAAAGGGGAGAGGGGGATGTGGGAAAAGACTGAACATAAACTGTGCACCTATGGATGAGGACAATGGGGGCTGGGGAAAGGGCAGAGGGTGGGGTGGGAACCTGGTGGAGAAGAGCAATGAAAGAAGGGAAAAAAGAGGAATATTTGTAACAATATGAACAATAAAGATTTATTTTAAATATATATATATATATATATATATATATAAAGAAAAACAAAAAAACATTTGTATTGATTTTTAGAGAGAAAGCGAGAGGGAGACAGACATCGATGTGAGAGAGACACATCCTGCACGTGCCCCAACTGAGGCCAGGGATCGAACCTGCAACCCAGGTACCAACCCTTGACCGGGAATCAAACCTGAGGCCCTTAGGTGTGCAGGCTGACTCTCAATTCGTTGAGCGACACCAGCCAGGGCTACAGGAACCCCCTTAAGCACTTATGTCCTGGCCCCGATAGATCCACCCTCCCCTCATGTCTGCATGAGCTCCCCAGTAGTGAATACTCCACCTTGATGAAGTAGTTAATCCCCGCGACCACCTGGCTCTTGTACTCCATGGCCTTGAAAGTGGGGTACTTCTTGTTTACCTTCTCCTCCAGCTGGGACTTCACCTAGGGGGCAGGAGAGAGGGGAAACCGGTCCTGCTTGAGTGACTGACATGGGAGCTGCGGCCTCCTGTCAGATGTTACCAACTGACCTCTAAGGCCCGCCCTTTACAGATCATTCCTCAATGCAGGACCAAGGATGTCAAACTCGTGGCCGGCACAAGGCATGTGGCCCACCAGCCTGGAGTTTGACATGCTTGCGACTGTTCAGGCTAATGGTAAAGTGCAGCAAACAATTCCTTAATTCTACCCAGCTCTAAAGGTATGATTTCAGCATCTCACTTGCCCTTTCTTTTCTAGGTGTGAGAAGTTTGTTTTTTTGTTTTTTTTAAAAAATACATATTTTATTGATTTTTACAGAGAGGAAGAGAGAGGGACAGAGAGTTAGAAACATCGATGAGAGAGAACCATCGATCAGCTGCCTCTTGCACACTCCCCACTGGGGATGTGCCTGCAACCAAGGTACATGCCCTTGACGGGAATCAAACCTGGGACCTTTCAGTCCTTAGGCCGACACTCTATCCCCTGAGCCAAACCGGTTTCGGCAAGGTGTGGGAAGTTTTTTTATAACTTCATCATTATGACTCTGCCTACAAGTTTATATACCAGCTTTTCTTTTTTACTTAAGACCCAAACAACTCATTTGAACACTGTTATGTAATTTTTAATGACACTTTTAAAATGAAAAACGTAAAAGTTTACAATTTTAAACTAAAGTTAATTTTAATTGTAAATTTAACCTTCCATCTTATAGAAGTGCCCCAATTCTCTTAACTTCCCCCTCCTGGGCCCTGAGGCTGTGCCCAGTGCTTTTGAAGCAGATAAGGCAGCAGAGAGAGTGCTTTGCAGGTGGAGGTGCTTCCTGCATTGTGAGGTCATTTCCTGAGGACGCCATGCTTTTGGGCAGATGCTGATCCTGATCCGAGTCTCAGACAGGAATCAAACTTGGGGTTCAATCCTGTTCCCCGGGATGTTGGCCTCTTATTAACCGAGTATCTTCATGGAGGCAGGAGAGAGCAGGTTGGTGGGGGGCCAGACATAGCGGGATGTCCCTTTTCTGAGTCCCACACGGAAAGAGAGATGAACGAACGGGTTCTAAGTGGAGGCGGCCAGGGATTGAGAAATATTATCGAGATAGAGAAGACACAGAGATATTATAGATTTCAAGCTGAGAGCTGGTGGGCTGCCATCCAGTCTGCTGGAGAGGCAGGAAGACAAGGACTAACCCAGCACATTTATTTTATACCCCCCCATACCAGGAAGTAACACCAACTTATTTGCATTCTTAAGCAGGCACTACCATGCCTGGATTTATATATCTAGTCCCGCCCCTGCGGACACCTGGGCTGATAGGAAGGCCAAGCTGATTACACTTCCCGCCATCTTGGGGAAATGTGCATCGGAGCCTCGGCTCTGCCAGTCTCTGTCTCAGCTGGCAACAGTTAAAAGAATGCCCAGGTGCCTTCCCAGGCGGCCCTCTACAGGGTGGTTGGCTGGTTTTTCTTACAGTAAAATCAAAGCTGGTTGCAGGGTCTCTGGCTGCTCTCCAGACTACTGGTAGGCACTGGGCATGCTGACTTTGGCTGGAGTGACTGGACGCGGTGAGGAAAGTTAGAGGACTTTCGTTAACTCAGCTTGATGAGCTGTGGGAGCCCATGGGGATGACTCTCATGACACGCCAGTGAGTCACTGGCCAAAGTCACAGAGGTTCACAAAGGCTTCGTGGTGGCCCTGCCCCTTCAGGGAGGGGCCCTAACTGGGGATAAGAAAGGAGGGGAAATGGAGTCAGCAGCTAAGGACAGGAGGGAGGGTCAGGAAGGGAGAAGGCAGGCCCCTCCTGCTGCTACTCTGCCCTCTGCATGCGGCCAGCTGGGTTCTCACTGCAGGCCCACCTGTCTCAGTGCTTACTTGTCCTGCAAGGCGCCATGTTTGGTCTGCAGGGATGGACAAGCCTGCAGATGGTGGACAAGCCTCAGGGGAGGAGTGACACACACAAACCCACAGGGGAGTCTGGGAAGGAATCGCCTCCCTCCTGGCCTGTTTCAGGAGTGGAGGCAGGAAGGCAAGGAATGGTGAGACAACCCAAATGTGGGCGCTGGGACTGGGCACTTGGCAGCCTCCAGGCCCTGTCCGTGGTGGCGGTTCACTGATTTACTGCTGGCCGGGAGAAAGGTGGGCTGTGCTGGGGCGAAGGGGAGCACGGAAGGCCTGGGATGGTTAGGAAGTTGCCCGTCATTAGCCCTCCAGGAGCCAGGAGACCCCAGAGGGCCAGGAAAGGCCAAGGTCAGGACTGGTAGGTTCTACTCAAGGAGGCTGAGCCAGAATTAGGGACTCTGACATCCTTCTGGCCAGGGCTCCCTCTCTGGCCTCTGTTCTCCTCTCCTGCAGCCCAGAGAGCTTGGGGAGGAGTCAGTGTACACAGGGGAGGCAGGAAGATGTGCCTGCCCTGTCCTCTAGGAGCCACAGGCAAAGCCCGCCCTCCAGAACTGCCTCCCAGCGGCCATGGGACTGTCCTCTTACTTGTCACTCTCAAGGGACCATCACCACATTAAGGAGACAGCGACCCCTCTCTCCCGAGTGAGCTGATGCACATTCAAAGTTCACACAGCAAGTGAGGAATCCCTTAGGTCCTGGCAACCCAACCGCAGGAGAGGCTGGGCTCAGGAGCCGTGGGACAGGAACCTCGCCCACGCTGGCTCGCCTGGCAGTCTCTACAGATTCCTCATTTTCAAAGTCCCATGGGCCTGACTCACCACGCGTTACTGTGGTCAGATGGTCTGAACCACCTGAGCAAAGTGGGTGAAGTGGGGGAAAGGGTACTATCGGGTCAGGGAAGAAGCAGGTTTGTTTGACTTTCTGTCTCCTCCGAACCAGAGCCTTCCTGTGGCCCCACCGTCTCCCCTTCCCTCCCCCAGAACCTCCGGGGAAGGCACCCAGGGAGCCCACTTTCCAGAGGAGAACACGGAGGCACGGGAGTCCAGCGCTGCCCAGGGTCTGAGCCAGGCGCTGCCTCTGCCTCCCAGCCTGGTTTCTGGTTCTTTTCTTTTTCTTTTTAACATTTATTTGGGGATGACTTCAAATGTACACAAAGAGCACTAGACTAAGGGTAGACGTGTAGGATCTCTTCCCCGGGTTCACGGACCGCTACCTTCCATCCCACCTGCCCTGGCTCCCCTCTCTCTCTGATCCCCCCGGAACCGCCGAGGACCCACACGGGGCCCTTCCCTCCGACCCTGGGCGCGCAGAGCCCAGAGCCCAGGCCCAGGGTCCCGGTCCCAGCGCCCCTGCGGGGCTGCCCCTGTGCGGCGGGGCGGGAGGCCCCGGGCCGCCTACCTGGTCGGCGATGGCCTGGATCTCGGCCGTGGCGGGCTTGGTGTCGGAGGTTCCACCGCACCGAATCATGGCGGAGCAGCGGGCACGGAGCTGGGAGCTGAGGGCACGGAGGAGCTCGGCCAGGGAGGGAGATGAGCAGAGGAGACCGCGGCTGCTGAGCTGTGAGCTCGGCCTCCCTCTTAAACCCGCCGTCAGCTGACGCGGGCGGAGCGGCGGGGAGGAGGCGGGGCTGTGGGCGGGGCGGGGCCCCGGGCCCGTTGGGGTGGGGTGGAGTGTGGGTGGGGTCGGGGTGAGGGGAGCTGGGGGAGGGACAGGCGCCTTGCACAATCTGGAACCCCGCCGATGGCGCCGCCTGGGGACCATGTCCTGCGCTGCAGGCAGTGCCTGCACCCTGTTTGGTGTGGGTCTGATTGGCCTCGGAGACAAGCAGGGCGCCTGCAAAACATGCCACTTTCACATGTTGATCTGCTGAGCAGAGGGCCATCAAGACCCAGCCACTGGGCTGGGGAGAACTTTCACCTCGCCCTTCACAGCATGTAGGTACGGCCCTGGCCGGTGTGGCTCAGTCCTTAGTAGCTTTCCCCTGTGCACCAAAGGCGGTAGGTTCAACTTCGTGTTCCATGTCCCCAGGGGGCCCTAAACTGTAGACCACTGATCCATGTTTCTCTCTCACATTGATGTTTCTCTTTTGCTCTCCCTCTCCCTTCCTCTCTCTAAAATAAAGGAGGGGAGGGAGGAGGCCAAAAAATGAAATGATTACATTAAAATCATGAAGGTAGGGAGCTTGGTCCAGAAAGAGAGCAAAGATCAGAGGTCATTTCTTTTTAAATGTGAGGCTCACCTGCATGGCAGGCAGACAGCTGGCTACCAAACTTCTGCTCTCCCATCTCCCTGTGATCTGTCCTCCTCCCCTTTGAAGCTGCAGACCCACGTCCTGGGCCTTAGCTCTGGAAGCTACAAACTCCGAACTCCGCTGCCACTACCAGCAGGGCCGGTTCTGGGTGGGAGAGACCCAGAGATGAGTGGGAGCCGGACCTGAGAGTCCCCAAGAGCAGGAGGGAGAGAAGTCTGTGCTCTGGAAGTAGCTGGGGGACAGAGACCGCCAGGGTACCCTGGAGTCCAGGACCGGGCCCTGCCTGGCCTCACTCCCCAGTGCCTTGGACTGCTCTGCACTTCTCATCTGCAAGACCTGGCCCAGCAGCCGACTTGCACCAGCCACTCTGGGTGTCACCAGCGTGTGACCCAGGGACACGGTGAAGGGCTGATGTGTGTGAGCAGAGGAGGCACAAAGGAGTCCAGTGAGGAGGTGCCTGCCAGGGCCTCAGGTTGGAGTGGGAGCAGCATTCCGGCTGTACCCCTCCCTCACTCCAGGGCTGCACCTCAGGGGATGCTGGGTGCTGATTGCAGGAGCAGGCCCAGCCTTGCCTTCTGTAGGGCTCAGTGTGGAACCCCAATGGGAGTGGCCCATGAGCAGGAAAGTGGGAGAGGCAAGCTTTCCTGGTACCTGACAGGGAAGAGCCTGGTTTGTAATTCCAGGAAGGGTGGGAGGCCAGGTGTGGAGGGGAAGGAGAGACCCCTCTATTTCAGTCATGAATGAATGAATGACTGAATGAATGTGTGAATGAAAAATGGGCTACACAGCAGACCAGACAAGCTCAGGGTGCTGCTAGGTGAGCCTGACAGTAAGCACAAAGGTGATTCGATAATAAATTCCTAGTTTGGCAGGTCATGCAGGCAATCACATCCCATGCCCATTGCTTCCTGGTAAAGATCAATCTTTTGCTGAAACTGGTTTGGCTCAGTGGTAGAGTGTTGGTCTGCGGACTGAAACGTCCCAGGTTCGATTCTGGTCAAGAGCATGTACATTGGTTATGGGCACATACCCGGTAGGGGGTTTGAAAGAGGCAGCTGGTCGATGTTTCTCTCTCATTGACGTTTCTACCTCGCTCTCTCCTCCTTCCTTTCTGTAAAAAATAATTAAAAATATATTTTAAAAAAAGATCAATCTTTACCTTAAGCAAGCCCTGCCCATTGTTCTTATGCACCTAGGAAAGATACCTTTGATAAGTCAGCGTGAATTTCTTTTCCAAACCCCTTGGAGGCATAACCACACTGGCACCAGTTATGCCGTTGCCCGCAAATCATCTCTACTTACTGTAAATGTTAACTATCCTTTACTCACTTATGTAAAAGAAGTGGGTGTTTCTCCATTTTGCGTCCTGTGTTCTCCATTTCAACACCTTACATGTGCTGTCAGAGCTCCATGCTGGGAGGTAAGTGTGGCCTGTGTGACTTCACCTGGAGAGGATTCTGGAAGGCTCCTCCCGGTGTCTCCTGGACTCACTCTATATGACCTTTTCCTGTGCTGTTTGCTGTGTGTTCGTTTGCCATAATAAACCACAGCCCTCCATCCTGGTAGCCTAGTGGGACAACAGGCTTAGGGTTCCCTGACACGTGGCCCTTTACAGGAAAAATCTGCTGAGTCCATTCTGCATGAACATAAACACATAAACACAACATTATCACACCTAAGAAAATAAAAAATTGTTCTGCACTATAATCCAACATCTAGTCTATATGCAAACTTTCCCAGTTGATCCCAAATGATTTATAGAGCTTTTTCTTTGAAGCATGATCCAACCAAGATTTGTATATGCAACTATGTGAAGGAGTATATCCCCTCCTTTACATAGGCGTTCATTTCTTCCTTCATCCATGACTTTAACTCTGAAGATTTTAGGATGGTTGTCTTGCCAACTGTCCCAGACTAGGGTGGTGATTGTCTTCTTGTGCACCCTGCTCGGCCTTCCTATGTCCTGAAAGCCAGGGTGCAGCCCTGAATGCTGGATGAGGGTCAGCCTTGACTGCCCACAGGTGCTGCTACTGCGTGGGAGGGGCCACCCGCCCACAGGGGCTGGCCATTTGGGGAGGGGGGGGGACTGATAGCTGGGACCACCTTTTTTAGCTCTTGTGCCATTTTCTGACGACTTTCGCCTTGAATCAAAAATTTACTGGCGGGCTGCACAGATTTTTCTCCAATTCTACCATTCCTTCCATCTGTGCTCGCTGGCATTCTTTGCAAAAGAACCTTCTGTCATTAACCAGGTTAAACTGCCGCCCCCCTTTAAGGCGGGCACACGCTTAGTGACCCTTTAATTACAACTGTCTAGTGCTGTCATTGCGGTGTCCGGCCACTACGAGGCGGTGGCGTGCGGCCGGGGAGAGGCCCTTCTACGCGCCCTTAGCCAGAGAGTGCGCCCGGGCCAGGCCGGCGCGGTCGTGTGACGTCACACCGCGCGACAGGGCGAAGCGCGGCGGCGCGGGCGCAGGTACCTGGAGTTCTCAGTGCGATCGCCATGGTTCCGCAGCTCCCCCCTGAGATCCAGCTGGCGCAGCGCCTGGCAGGGAACGAGCAGGTGACCCGGGACCGGGCGGTGAGGAAGCTCCGGAAATACATCGTCGCCAGGACTCAGCGGGCTGCAGGTTGGCGCGGGGCCGCGCCGGGGACTGGGCCTGCCGGGTGGGGGCGCGGCGCGGCGGGGGCGGCCCCGGCTGGGTGGCCTCCGAACCACGCGATCCGGCGCTCCTGCCGGGGTATTTTCCACGGCCGCTCCCCGCGGTATTTGTCACTTGTCACTGTTAATGCTCCTTGTGTAGCTGTTGGGCTGTCATTCGAGTTTCACTGGTGCGTACGCTCCGCCTGAGCAGAGAACATGCTTGTTAACTGGTCTTTGCTGTAACAGTGGTAATCAAAGTGTGGTACCCCATCGGCAACTTCGGCGTCGCCCGACGTTCGTTGGAAATGCAATTTCTTCTTCTTCTTCTTCTTCTTCTTCTTCTTCTTCTTCTTTTTTTTTAAAAACAAAATGTATATATTTTATTGATTTTTTTTACATTGAGAAAGAAAGAGGGATAGAGAGTTAGAAACATCGATGAGAGAGAATCATCAATGAGATGCCTCTTGCACACCTCCCACTGGGGATGTGCCCGAAACCAAGTTACATGCCCTTAACTGGAATCGAACCGTGGACCTTTCAGTCCACAGACTGATGCTCTATCCACTGAGCCAAACCGGTTTTGGCTGGAAATGCAATTTCTTGGTTGCCTCCCAGCCTTGCTGAATCAGAAACTGGCCGCAGAGTTAGCGACCCGTGTGTTAGGAAGCCCCCGGGTGATTCTAGCACTGGTGCTCAGGTCTGAGAACCACGGCTCATTAAACACGGTGCCAGACACAGGAACTCGGTCAATATTTAGAGTGATTGTATGTGTCTTCTTCCCGTACTGGCCTGATGACGTAACCTTTTCTTTTGAAATTTGAAATCTGCAGAAAAGTGCACAAACCCCAAGTATAACGCTGGATGAATTAAAATTCACCTGGGTAGCAAGCTGCCTCCCAACTCAGGACATAGTGACTCACTCAGTTTTGAATCTCCAAAAATGTACAGTTTTGGAGGCTCTCAGTTTTTATTGAAAGAATGAGATGGCAGTTACCTGGGGGAGTCCCTGTGGGCCCAGGCCCAGTGGATTCCGAGTTAGGAGGATGTCTTGAGAGGAGAGGGAAGGCACCTTCGTTTTTGGAACTAATACACTGGGGTCCACGTAGTCTGAGCGTTGCCGTTTGATGCAGGTGGTTTCACTCATGACGAGCTGCTGAAGGTGTGGAAAGGACTGTTTTACTGCATGTGGATGCAGGACAAGCCGCTCCTCCAGGTGAGTATGGGAAGGCAGAAGAAGCTGGAGCAGCAGCGTCAGGAGGAGGCCAGATGGGCCTGTGGTGGACTCTGGGCGAAGATTACAGCTTTTTAATTTATTTATGGCAGGAAGATGAGGGCCTTCGTTTTGAGAGGGTCTTGTACGTGTTCAGTTGAGCACCATAGCCACACAGGTGCTCACCAGTGCAAGTCAGAGTAGTTTCATTGCCCTAAAATGCTATTTTTTGTAAAACTGTTTATTAGAATATGAATTGTTTACTCTTCTTTAAGATCCCCTGGGTGTTGGGGCAGTAGTTAAAGTGCAGAATCCTGCGCTGTATTCCATGCCCACTAAACTGGAGTCACAGGGAAGGCTCTGGAATTATCCATTTAGGAAGTGCACTGAGTGCTGCTTGGCCAGTGGCACAGGCAGGCAGTGAGAAAGTTAGAGGGGTCTGGTGGCTCCCTCTTTGTGCTGGTCAGGTGGCTGCATGTCCCGTCTTCTCTTATTCTTTGACGGCCAACCTCTGTCGCTCAGGGCAGAGCCGGATCATGCGGGCAGTTACTGCCCTGATGCCAGGTTCTGCTGGCCCAGCTGTACAGTGAAGCCCTTCCAGCAGGGACGTAGCTTGCAGCCTCACGCACTCTGGGCTGAAGCAGCCAGGGAAGCTTGTCTCCTGGCGGGCGGCATTGAGTGTGCTGCCTGTTGTTGTGAGACTGTGTTTCCTCGGGCTGAAGGAGATTATTTTACTGTTTCCTGCACAGGAGGAACTAGGAAGGACCATTTCCCAGCTTGTCCATGCTTTTCAAACCACAGAGGCACGTGAGTATCCTTACCCCGTGGGAAGGTCAGAACCACTGAGTCAGTAGCTGCCACACACAGAAGCCTAAGCTCTGAGATCTAGAGCAAGAGAGAAGTCCCTATTGTATTATAGCTGATGTCTGCTGGCGCTTATGTGTGAAACACTTCAACTCGTGTAAACCCCTTTACCTAAAATACACTCAGCTCAAAAGTCTAAAGGGCTAAAACCCTACATTTTAACGTTAAAATGGCAAGCTAGTGTGGTGTTACCAAGCTGCCGGACTGAATCTGATCCGATCGTTGTGGAGTTCCTCCGTGAGCTTCTGTTTCTCTTCTGACCACGATGAGTAGTTGTCAACACTGCCGCTTGCCCATGGGGGTCACTTGGGAGTCTTTAGAGTCTTGATGTCCAGACCCTGCTGTCCTTAGGTGGAATTCTGAGGGTGGGGCCTAGGCCCCGGCATTGTGCCTCCCTCTGCTGCCCTAAGGTGGCAGGGCCGGGAGCATCACCGGCATAGGCACTAGGACCATTGCTAGCGGGTTTAGTTCAGACTTAAATAGGCAAAGGATCTGGGGGGGTGGGGGGGAGGGAGGGAGGAGTGGGGCCTGCACAGAAATCACAGAAACTACGTCCTCAACTTGGCAGAGTGTAACTGCCTTGGAGTCATTAGTGGAGGAGAGTATCTTCCTTCTGTACTTTTTACCTCCTAAGAACCTGCAGGAGAGTCTGCTCAGCAAAAGGCAAAGTAGAGAGTGTTCACCTAGTGACACTGGAATGAGTCAGTGAACGCAGGCCCGTCCACAGGCCCGTCCATTGCTGAGCCATCTGATCAATGTTTTGCTGTTGGAGAAGCCGTAAGGGGGGATAAGAGGTGCCCCTTTGTGTCCTGATGGCAGGGTGTGGGCAGGGCTGGTTTCTCCTGGGGCCTCTTCCTTTGGCATGTAGATGCTGTCTTCTCCCTGGGCCCTCATGTGATTGTCCCTCCGTGTCTGTATCCTGATCGCATCTTATAAGGACAGAAGTTTGAATGGATGAGGGCCCACACCAGTGACCTTATTTTATCTTAACTATCCCATTAAAGACTATATAATAATAAAAGTGTAATATGCTAATCAAACTGAACGTCCAGCCGGGGCTGCAAGGGAAGCCTGGGTCCCCGGTGCCTGCCGGGGCCGGAGGGAAGCCGGTGCTGGCAGCCAGGGGAAGGAAGGCCTACTCGTGCATCAGGCCTCTAGTATTCAAATAAAGTTATATTTCTAGGTATGGGGTTAGAGCTTCACCACAAGCATCTGTAGGGCATAGCCGCCCTAGTGCTCTGGCATAGCCATTGTCAGCAGGGTTTTGTGTTTGGTTGGTTAGTACGGCTGGTGGGGCTAGAGGCGAGGTCCTGAATGGGTGTCAGGCAGGGCCTCAGCCCAGCCCAGGGAGGCCGAGGACCCGGGGAGGAAGTGGCCTGAGCAGCCTCCTTTCTTGCTGCTGGCTTTGCAGGCTCTGCACCCGCTCTTCAGAGAATGTGGCTGCCGTGCAGAGTTGTAGGGGAGCTCTGCTTTTCCTTCTGAGGTTGCTCCATCTCTAAGCCAGATTCTCAGCTCAGCAGACTCAGACTGAGAATGGCAGGGGTTGGTTGCACACAATGCCCTGACCAGTTTCTCATGATTCTGTCCCTTTGCTTTCCAAAGTGGCTTCTGTAGCCCTCCGTGATTCTCTTGTGGCCGTTTTCCTCCCCAGAGCACCTGTTCCTTCAGACCTTCTGGCAGACCATGAACCGCGAGTGGACGGGCATAGACAGGCTGCGCCTGGATAAGTTCTACATGGTGAGGAAGCAGCCTGCGCCCCTCAGCCAGGTCCTCAGGAGCAGATCTGAGCACCCAGAGAGAGGGGAGGGCGGGCTGGGGGTGCAGCATAGAGCGGTCTGGCCTTTGAGCCTCCACTCCAACATGGCAGAGCTAAAGGCCTCTGGTCAGTGCGGCCACCCTGACCGCTGACCCATAATCTTGGTGGTTGAACGGGGAGCCTAGGTCTTGTTCCGGGGGCACAAGCGCTTGGAAAGCTGGGCATCCCAGCCCCGGGTTCTGAGGGCTTGGTGTCCTGTCCTCCTCCAGCTCGGGGGCCTGCTGTGTGTTTGGGCTCGCAGACGACCCCGGGGCAGAAGGGCAGTCTGGGTTGCGCTGCACTAACGGCCTCCTTTTGTGCACAGCTCATGCGGATGGTCCTGAAGGAGTCCTTCAAGGCCCTGAGAATGCGGGCGTGGGAGGAAAGGTCAGTTCGCAGCGCGTCCTCAGGCTGCTGCTCGCGGCCAGTCCGGGTTTCTGTCAGGGGATCGGGTTCACGGGTTCTCTCTGTTATTAGTTGTAAAGGAGACGTCACCTTAACATTAAAGAGTGACCCGATGGCACTTAAAATGAAGGTGTTTTAAAAATTACAGTTTGCATGTGTTCATGTAAATATTTGTTTTCAACCTTGATGGTAAGTTGTGAATTAGAATTGAGTTCTCACATAAAAAATACCTTATATTCGTGTTTAGCTCTTTTATCCATGATCATTGCTCCCAGTTTGCCAATCGTGCTTGTGGTGGGGTAATGTGTGTCCTCTACCCTGCAAGGGGCCCCTGTTCCTGCTGGCACAGGCAGAGCCGCTCTGCCGCATGGGCGGCCTGGGCTCTGCTGGGCTCTGCTCTTCGTCCCCTCCTGGGACCGGGCAGGGCCGGTCCAGCCGCCTGGCCTGGAGCTGTGCGTCCAGCTGAGGGGGAGCAGGTTTCTAACCTCGGGGGGTGGGGGCAGACTGACACCCACCACACAAAGTGGGTTTCTGAATGTTCACTTTAAAATTTTTAAAAATTAATCTAATTTGGTTTCTTTATAATTGTTTTCTAATTTCGAGAGTGAGACGCGTTAGGTATAAAGAACTCAGAAGACATTAAAAAGCGACTTTAACTCCAACAGACACTTTTTAAGATGCTACATTGCTTTGTGCACATGGTATGAATGTGGTGTCATTCAAACATGACATCTGCAGGCTGCTCTTTATTTTACTGAGGATGCACCAGAAACATCTTGCCCAATTGTAGGGCAGGGGTGGGGAAGACAGGAGGAAAAGGGCTCAGAAACAGTATTTTGAATTGATTTATAAGTTAAAGTGTACATTAAAGGAGTTAATTTCAAGTACATGGATTCTAAAACCAGTCCCCAGATGCTAGAATAGCTACTGAACCAGAGACTTCAGCTCACATCCCCCGGTGTGCGAGGACTTTTTACCTTTGGAAAACAAAGTTAGCAAACCCTTGGCCCTGCTTGTTTTTCCCATGTAAAAAAAGATCAGGAGGAGTTGGACTGTAGTTAGCTGATTGTTTGTTTGTTCAGAGGCCTTGTGGGTGACTTACATTGGGGTTCGAGTTCTTTGGTTTTGAGTGGGGTCAGCCCTAAGTCCCCAGGAGGGCCTTGAGGCCTGGGGTCTCCCTCATGTCAGAACCTTGGGCTGTGGGTGCCCCAGGAGCAGCTAGTGACGGGAGCCGAATTCAGGGGTAAAGGCACGGTTGTACTTCAGTTTACTTCCTGTTCGTTTGTGATTATGGAGGTAGCTTTGTCTTCACTGTTGCTAGAGGTTCAGTGCAGGGATCATGTTTGAGCACGTGGCCTCCCGTTGGCTGGGTGACATTGCTATGTGCCCTCTGCTACCCTTCTGAGCCCTGACTCGCATCTGTGACCAGCTTGTTTTTTGGTAAACGTTCCTTAGCGTGGTCAGCAGCCCTGGGAGGACGGCTCTTGCACCTGCTCTGGCTCGACTCCTTTTTCCCACTTTTCCTTCCCGAATGCTGAATCCCTCCTGTTGCCACACACCCACACATCCGGGCAGCCCCTTACAGAATGCCTGCTTTCCAGCTCAGAGGGAGAGATCTGTGTGTCATCAGATGCATGTAGACCCTGAAGATTGGCCTCCGAGCCCTCCGACCTGGGAGACAGGCCTGTGTGGTCACTGAAACCAACGTGCCAGGCAGCGGTCTGGTGCGACCTTCACAGGCGTGTACTCGGTGAAGCAGCGCCTGGGGCAAGCTCATGCCCGCGTGTGGCCTCGTCCCCTTCCTTGGCATTGCTGGGTCCTGGTGTGCCTTCCTGAGCAGCTCCCAGCAAGGACAGCGGAGGGGTGCGGACAGCAGGTGGTGCTAGTCTCCTGTCGCCCAGTCTCTCCCTGCACTCGGGACAGGGAGGGCCTGTGGGTGCTCACACATCTTGCACTTTGTAGCTGAGCTTGAGTGAGGCCGTATGTTCTGGTGCTGGGAAGGTCCATGACTCGGTCATTGCCAGGATCCTTTGTCCTGGAGGACCGCATGCCGCCGCAGGTTAGCATGCTGGATGGCCGGGTGTCTGCGTGATAAAGGTATAGAACACCATGCCTTGGTGCCTGTCACGGCTGCTGCGTTACGTGCTCGTTTCTTTCTTCAGACAGATTGAGCAGCTGTTGGAGCTGCTGACGACCGAGATCCTGCACCCCGATAGCCAGGCCCCCAACGGGGTGAAGAGTCACTTCATCGAGATCTTCCTGGAGGAGCTGGCCAGAGTGGGCGCCAGTGAGGTGAGGGGGCAGGGGCGGTGGGCCGGGCAGGGTTGGCAGCTGAGCTCCTCCCTGGGTGTCGGTGAATGAGGGCCTGAGACAGCTCCTGCTTACCTTCCCCTGCAGCTGACAGCAGACCAGAACCTCAAGTTCATCGATCCCTTCTGCAGAATCGCTGCCCAGACTAAGGAGTAAGTGGCCGGCTCTTCCTTTGCACTGAGTTCTTCGGGGACTGTCTTTGGGAAGCTGCTGTTCCCGTCTGGGGAGAGGGTACGAGTAGTGTCCACAGGACAGATTCGCCGGAGGGACCATTGGCCGCGGTTTGGGAGAGATGGTCACAGGAGGCAGCAGGTCTTTTCCTGCGGGTCCTGCCTAACGCCTGCCTTCGTGCCTGCCTCCCGTTCAGCTCCCTGGTTTTACATAACATCAACCGAGGCATCTTTGAAACGATTGTGGAACAGGCCCCGCTCGCCATTGAAGACCTAATGAATGAAATGGAGGAGGAGGAAGACGAAGATGAGGAGGAGGGGGAGATGTCAGACGATGATGGGCAGGATCAGGGCGTTCCGCCCAAGAAGCTGTTTGAGAAGCCCCCTGAAGGTGAGGCTTACAGTGTGCTCAGTACGACGGGCCTGCCCCCTCTGCGCACCTGCCCTGGGCCTATCTGGTCTCATTTCTGCCTTTTCCTCCAAAGTCTGTTCTTGGCCTGATGGCCAACGTGTCCTTTAAAAACAAGCACCATGTCACTTACTCTCCTGGCCCTCGCTGCATGTGCGCCATCCTGACTCCACCGGCCCTCTCTCTCTCACCGGTCTCCACCCTGTCACTCCAGGGGCCCTCCCCTGACCGCCCTGCTTGAGGCAAGCCTCCCAGCCCTCGCCCTGCCTCACTTGCTGTCTCACTTCCTGGCATAACCCAGTCCTCGTTACACAAATCCCTGTGCATTGTTCCTGGCCCATCTTCCCCACTGGATGTCCACTCCACCAGGACAGGGAGCTCGATTGACCATCGATGTGGAAGCCTGTGTCAGGATCTGCTCTTTTTAAGGCCGAATAGTGTTCTGTTGTGTGGATGGACACTTTTTGTTTGTTTTTAAAAAAATATATTGATTTTTTGCCGGGACCGGTTTGGCTCAATGGATAGAGCGTCGGCTTGGGGACTGAAGAGTCCCGGGTTCGATTCCGGTCAAGGGCATGTACCTTGGTTGCGGGCACATCTCCAGTAGGGGGTGTGCAAGAGGCAGCTGATCGATGACTCTCTCTCATCGATGTTTCTAACTCTGTATCTCTCTCCCTTTCTCTCTGTACAAAATCAATAAAATATATATTTAAAAAAAAAATAAAAAAAATAAAAAAATATATTGATTTTTTTACAGAGAGGAAGGTAGAGGGATAGAAACATCAATGAGAGAAACATCCATCAGCTTCCTCCTGTACACCTCCTACTAGGGATGTGCCCGCAACCAAGGTAGTTGCCCTTGACCGGAATCGAACCTGGGACCCTTGAGTCCACAGGCTGACGCTCTATCCACTGAGCCAAACAGGTTAGGGCAGTAATTCTATTCTTAATTTTTGAGAAAACACTGTGTTTTTTCCACAGTTGCTGTACCATTTTACATTCCCATCAACATTGCACACGGGTTCACATATCCCACATCCTTGCCAACACATTGTTTTCTGGGTTTTTTGATAGCCGTCCTCATGGGAGTGAGGTGGTGTCTGGTGGTGGTTTGGAGTTGCATTTCCCTAAGGATCAGTGACGCTGAGCATCCTTTTGTGTCCTCGTTGGCATTTGTATGCCTTTGGAGAAGAGTCTGTTCAAGTCCTCCGTGCCTCCTTCATGGATGGTCTTGTTGAGTTTCAGGCGGCCCCTGTACATCCTGGATACTAACCTTTTCCAGATGTATGATTTGGAGATAGCTGTTCCCATTCTGAGCTGTTTTTGCTCTATCGATAGTTTTTTCTGATGCACAGCATTTAAAAATTTTCAAGTCCATTTTGTCTATATGTTTTCTTGCTGTCTGTGCCTTTTGTGTAACTCAGTGCCACATCCAATGCTGTGAAGCTTTTGTCCTGTTTTTTTCCTAGGAGTTTTATTAGTTTAGGTGTATGTGTAGGCTGTGGGTCCATTTGAGCTAGTTTCTGTATGTGGTGGTAGGGAAGACCCAGCTTCTCTCTTTCGCTTGTGATGGCCAACTTCTGGCACCATCCCTGAAGAGACGGGTCCTGGCGCCGTGTGGAAGGTCATTTGATCATAAATTAAGGGTTAATGTCTCCCTCCTCCGACTCTTAATGCCCTGCTCCTTGGCTTATTAGTCAGCACTCCCCTTTCATGTTCTCTGGCCATCCCTGTCTCGCCTGTCCCTCCCTTTCTCTCACTCTAAGCACCTGAGAGGCCCTGGCCTGGTCAGATCCAGGAGTCTCCTGACAGGCCTGCCCGTGCCCACCTGTGCCTGCTTGCAGCCTCGCTGTCCTCATCTGCCACACACACCTGCCCCCACGGCCGCCTGTGGTCCCGAGGTTTCTCTGTAGGCAGTGACCTGAAAGCCCCAAATGTTCTGAAACTTCGTCTCCGTAGGCCCGCCTTGTGGCCGACTAGCTGCCCTTCTCCCTGGCGTCCGGAACTCTGTCATCCCGTGTACCTAAGATGCCACTCGTAATTCCCTCTGAATCTCCCTCCTCAAGGACCCGTCAGGCCTTCACGTCCTCTGGGGCGTCTCCCTTGTTTCCAGGCCTGTGGCGGCCCCACTTCCCTCAGCGTGAGGCTGTCGGGGTCCCCCACCGTCTCGGGCTGTGGGCTCCCACAGCCACACCTGTGCACTCAGCCTGGCAGAGAGGGCAGCTTCCCATTGTTTGAGTTGATGCAGCTCTTTCATTCCAGGCTCCCGTGGGGCTGCTCCGGGCCAGGCTGAGGAGCAGGGCGAGGACGATGAGGACGGCACTGGCGCCGTCCTTCAGGTGGGTGTCCTGGGCTGTGGGCTGAGCTCAGCCCACTCGGAGCTGGCAGAGCTGGAGGGGAGGAGGCGCCAGGAACGGGAGGGCAGCCGTTGGCTGGGACTTGGGGGACCCTGTGTCTGCCAGAGCACAAATCGTTGAAAACGGGTTGTGGGCCAGGCACCTGGAGACTTCACCGTTGTCAGCCGCCTAGTCCCAGAACTGCCCCCCGCCTCCTGGGGCTGGGCCAGTGAGGACCTGTGATTTCAGGTGAATTGGGAAATGTGGGATAATTACAACTTTTCAATACTGATTACTTCGGGAATTAGTCAGATTTTATTTTATTTTTAAAAAAATATATTTTATTGATTTTCCACAGAGAGAAAGGGAGAGAGAGGGAGAGCTAGAAACGTCGATGAGAGAGAAACATCGACCAGTTGCCTCTTGCACCACCCCCATCGGGGATGTGCCCACAACCAATGTACATGCCCCTGACCGGAATCGAACCTGGGACCTTTCAGTCCGAAGACCGACGCTCTACCACTGAGCCAAACCAGTTTTGGCAAATTAGTCAGATTTTAGATACCTGATTTAAATAAAATTGATCAAAATTAATTTTACTTGTTTTCCCGTGGCTATCAGAGGATTTAAATTTACACATTGTGTCTCCCTCTCCCTCCCCCCAATTTCTTTTGGGGGAGGCATTGTCCTGGAGTGAGCTGTTCAGTCACCTTTGCTGAGGAGAGAGCAGGTGCTTCTCTCTGCACCTGGCACTGACTGACTCTTTGTCTCCCTGTGTCTCCTGAAACAGTTTGACTATGAGGCTGTTGCTAACAGGCTGTTTGAAATGGCCAGTCACCAGAGCACCCCTTCTCAGAACAGGAAGCGTCTCTACAAAGTGATCCGAAAGTGAGTGTTTCTCTGAAGGTGGCCGGCCTGTTCTCCCCACTGCCCCGGTGCCCCTTCCCTCTCAGGCGACCTCAGCTAGGGGGGCGGAGGGGGGAGGCAGTCCTCCACTTGAGAGTTCAGGTGGCGAGGGGCCTCACCGAGGGCCACCGTGCTGCCCGCACGGGAGGCAGGAGGCTGGAGATTGTGAGGCTGCCTTCTCCGCATCTCCTTCCTCCTGCGGGATCCGCAGCCATGGGGAGTGACTGCCTCTTATTCTTGCAGGTTGCAGGACCTCGCTGAAGGTGAGCACCCGGCCGAGCACTGAGACCGGCCCCAGGGAGAAGGCATCTGTCCCCTTCTCTCCGGAGAGCGTTGGACCTCACGGGTTCACTCTCGCAGCACGAACAGTCTGCAGAGAGGGGGGCTGGGGTTCTGCAGTTTGTCATAGTTCAGTGCTGGGCCTGGGACAGCATGGGGCCCAGGAACCTGCATTTCTAGTAAGTTCCCAGCTTGCTAAGGCTGCTGGTCTGCAGTAGACCTCTCCACGTCCTGGTGTGTGGCTCATGGAACTGGTACGGTTTCTTCTGCATCCAGTTTTCTGGAAAGCTCATGATTGGACATGTAGCATTTCCCTTGCCAGCATTTTATTACAGACATATTTACACATATAGCAGAGTTTAAAGGATTTTATCGTGAAGGCCTGAGTATCCACCTCCTTGACTCTGTCATCATCATTTCACTATCCTGGTCTGATCACGAATCTGCCCGTTGAGCCTTCCCGAGTCCCTCCCAGCATAATCGTTTTGAAGAAGTAGGCCTGGCATCCTACATGCTCCATGAATGGGCTCTTACCCGTTGTGCCGACTACGGTTTCAGGCCGGCTGAGCTGTGCTGGGCGAGGAGCAGGGCCTCCTGGCACAAGCTTGGGGAGGGCTGCTTGCTGGGTCACAGGGAGCAGAGAGCTCACAAAGGAACGGCCGTGAGCCCTGCCCTCAGCCCTGCCCTCTGTCTGCCTGGTCCGCAGGCCTCTTTCCTGAGGAGGACATCCCGGAAGAAGCCCACAGGAAGCTGCGGGAGGGGAAGAAGGGGAGGAGGGCGAAGAAGCGATCGCCCAAATCCCAGCTGCAGAACAAGACAGGTAGGACCAGTGCCTGCCGACGTGGAGGTGCTTACACACTTGTAATGAGAACTCACCTGTCACTGTCTCCGGGGGTGGCCTCCAGGTGTGCCCCCTCCTGCCTGCCCTGGCTGCCCAGCATCGTGAGTGCCCTGGACCAATGCCCTGCAGCAGCAGACTGCCCTGTGCAGCCGGGACTCAGCTGGTCTGGCTTCCGGGCCACTTGCCATCTTCCCCGCACTCCTTGTCTGCAGTTTCGGTCTGTGCCGCTGCTGCCCGATCCTTTTCATCTTGGATCTGTGTGCATCTGAGGGTTCGGACCCATCCACTCCTCATCCTCAGTGTCCTCCTGAGACCAGTTTGCCTGACTGCTCTCCTTGATTCTAGAGGCTTTTCTTCCCCTCCCCTTTTCCTCCCTCTCCTTAGCTGTCCACACAGTCATGGTGAGAATGTGACAGTCTCACTAAGGACAACTGTGCTGCTGTCACCCAGGCCCTGGGCCACTGCAGACCGCCAGGCCTGGGCTGCCTGTTGCAGTGAAGGGCCATGCCCTTTGAAGGGTCTCAATTCACTGCTCTGGCCAAGGCCACACCGTTCATACCGTTTCACATCTGGGCCTTGTGGCAGGCACAGGGCCCACTCAGCACCTACTCCAGCGGCCCCCAATACCATCTCATGGCTCTGGTGCACCAGGCCGAATCCCTGCTCCTGGCCCTGCTCCGAGCCTGGCCCTTCTGACCAGCATCACCTCCAGCCCCAGTGCACCCGCCCCTGCCATGTCTTTTCCTTGGTCCTGTGCTCACCGTTCTTTGTGAGGCTGCCTCTCTGTTGGCAGGAGCCAGCGTGTCCGCATGGTGCGGGCCCGCCTGCTGGTGTGTGTCTGCGCCTGAGGCCGTCGGTGCTTCTGTGCCAGGTGCTCTCGTGTCCTCTGCTGCCCTGGGGCTGGCCCCTTCGGTCAGCATTGCAGTGAAGCAGCCCAGGCCTTCCCGCACCTCATCATGTGGCCTTGCTGTTTTAGGGAAAGGTGAACAGGAGGACCGGTGTGCAGACCTGAGTTCCAGAGTGGAGAGAAAGAGGCGGCATCGGGGCCCAGGGGCTGACCGCGCTGCGCCCCAGGAACAGCCCGGGGGCCGTGGCAGGAGAGGCGCGCGCAAGAGGCGGCGGCAGCCTCAGGCAGGGGCCAGAGCAAAGGTGCCTGGGTGCCGGGAGCCAGGCGTGAAAAAGAAGCGGACACGGGAGAGCAAGAAATGACGTGGCCGGGCCCAGCCCCGAGGACAGCACCGTCTCCGCCGCTCCTCCCGTCCGCGCTGTGTCGAGTGAGCGAACAGGACAGGTGGGCCGTGCTCCCGAGACTGCAGACATGCGTGGTCAGCACTAAGTGAGGCTGGCTCAGTCAGCCATGCCCCAGAGAGCGCTGCTGCTGTGCTGACTCCTGTCAGGCAGGACCCCGCAAATAACCCTCCCTGGCAGGGCCGGGGACTAGCCACGCAGCGGGCGGCTGTAAATAAAATGCTACGCATTCTTAGAAATGGAAGTCTTCTTAAGCTGGAAGGTTCCCGTGGGGTGAAATGATAGGTGCCGGCTCCTGAATAGTGCACCGGTGGGGCCCCTCGGCATAGCCTGCGGGAGATCGGGCTGAAACCTGCAGTCCAGTGCCGCTTGCCGCTCCTGTCTGCTGCTCCTGCTCATCTCGGCCCTGACACGCCTGCCACCACCATTGCTGCTGCTCCACTGTGGTCTCCGGGCTGCAGCAGCCGGCCGTGAGCCCTGTGTCTGGCACCCATTGGTCAGCTGAGCAGTGCTCCCATGTGGGAGTGCACTGACCACCAGGGGGCAGATCCTGTGTCGAGTGTTCCCTGGTGGTCAGTGTATGTCATAGTGACCGGTCATTCGGTTGTTTGGTTGCTTAAGCTTTTATAGATATAGATATAGATATATATAGATACCCATTTTTGTGGGTAAAATGGTTTATTCTCAAAATCTGGGAGAGGATGCAAAGTGCCGGTAGTGGGTTTCGGGACAGGCTGTTACTCCACCTTATAGACTGTGTTTAGTGCTTGGGGTTGATGTGCCTGAGGCAGGTAGAGCGGCTCCTTTGCCCACCTTCATCTGTGACTTGGAGGTAGAACCTGATCTGGCAGCCAGGAGGCAGACCTGCCCGTTCCCCATACTCTTTCTTTTAAAGTTTTTATTGATTTGAGAGATGGGAAGGTAGAGAGAGAGAGAGAAATTGGTGAGTAAACCATCCATCATCTGTCTCCTGCATGCCCCCTACTGGGGATTGAGCTTACAACCCAGGCATGTGCCCTGACTGGGAATCTAGTTGGTAGCCTCTTGGTGCATGGCCAGAGCTGTTCCCCATACTTCAGCGCCTTCAGATTATCTCAGAGGTCCATCCAGGAGGGTCTGAGCGGCAGTATGTTTGCTGGACCCTGACCAGTGTACCGTGAAGGGAACCTACCGGGACAAGCCCTGGCTCCTGAATACCAATGAGAGGGGAAACAGGGATGTGAAATAGTGCTGTGTGGCTCCCCGTGGCCTCCGGGCAGGGCTACAGCCATCACCACAGACGTCACGTGGGCACTATCTTGGGCTCAGTGCACATCCTGTGTTCCACCAGCATCCAGGCCAATTGGGCCGCTGCTGGGCCAAGGCGTGGGGGTGAGCCAGCAAGAGGACCGCCCTGGGAAGACCCACCGAGGCTTGAACTGAACCCCAATTTCCAAAGCCCTGCTGCCTGAGCATATCGCCCACCCAGGGGGAGCCAGGGCCATGTGGGTTCCCTTCCATTCTGGCTGCTGGGCAGATGAGGCTGGCTAGGGGAGCAGGGTCAGGGAACAGGAAGAGGCAGCATGCAGCAAAGTCATCAGTTCACAGTTCCCTGTCCCCAAAAAGACTCACAATTTTGTTGTTTCTGTTGAAATTCCTTTAGTCAAAGTAAGGGAACAGCGCGGCTGGAGTTGCTCAGCAGTTGAGTGTCCACCTGTGCACCAAGATTTCCGAGCCGGGCTGGATTTCTCTCCCTCTCTCTCTCCCTCTCCCTTCCTCTCTCTCTAAAAATCAATAAAAACATTTAAAAAAAAGAAAAAAGAGAACCAGCCATTCCATAGATCTATCTGATTGCAAGTCCTGCACCAGAGCCCTTCCTTGCTGCACCACCACCATGGTTTGTTACTGTCCCCCTGAGAATTTACAACATTTACGACATTGTGCTCCTGGCATAATGGCATCACTGTTAGAGTGCCAGCGGCTGCTGTGGACAATGGGCACTTCTCCCCGTCAGGAAACGTTCTCATTGGGCAAAGTGGTGAAATCCTGAGAGGAAGTTGAATGTGACCATCAACCACTGTCCCCCAGGAAAGCTTGTGTTCAGAAGTTGGCATTGATTTTCTTTCCTGTTCTCTTAAAAATACTTTAATGAGGAATCGTTTACATACCATGCAGTTCCCCCACCCACAGTGGGCAGGTTGGTGCTTTTTATTTTTATTTTTTAAAAATATATTGATTTTTTTACAGAGAGGAAGGGAGAGCGATAGAAAGTTAGAAACATCGATGAGAGAGGAACATCGATCAGCTGCCTCCTGCACCCCCCCCACTGGGGATGTGCCTGCAACCAAGGTACATGCCCTCGACTGGAATCGAACCCGGGTCCCTTGAGTCCACACGCCGACGCTCTATCCATTGAGCCAAACCAGTTTTGGTAGGTTGGTGCTTTTAGTGTATTCAGTCACCACAGTCAATTTTAGGACATTTTCACCCCAAAGGACATGGTTAGCTGTCACCCTCCCAGTCCTTGGGGACCACTGACCTGTCTACAGATTCCCTGATTTGGACTTTGAAATAATTGGGGTCATACAGTGTGGTGGTCTGTGTCTGGCTTCCTTCACTCAGCACGTTTTCAGCGTTCATCCACGTTGTCTGTGTCAGAATCTCGTTTCCCAGTGGCTGGATGACATTCCCTTGTGGAGATGGGCCACGCGTTAGTTTACTCATTTGTCCACAGGGATTGCCCTCATCCTTTTCCTGCCCCTGGTACGGGAGTAATGCTCCTGCAAGCGCTCACGCAGGTTTTTGCGTGGCCTTGCACGTCTCCTGTATATCTAAGCGTGGAGCTGCTGGGCCAGGAGGCAGGAGGTGACCATGTTTAGTGTGAAGAAAGGCCAGACTGTCACATGGCCACACTGATTTATGTTCTCACCCTGGGGTTGGGGTCCCTCTCCAGGTGTGACCTCATGGCGCAGCCTCAGGTGAGCACTTGCTGGTGCTCCTTAACCGGTAAGCCTGTGGTGTGGCTGGCACAGTGGCGCCGCTGGCCAGAGGGCTGGTGGTCCAGCAGAGCCCTCGGCTCACCCCTGTGGAGGGGTGCACACTGAGGAGGCCCACCCTGGCTCCTCCCATCTCTGCCCCAACCTGGTCCCTTTTAGGACCCCATGAGGTGACTCTTCTTAGGAGACTTGGCTCAACCAAGTGTGTGACCTTGGGCTGCAACCACTGAACCCTCACTGACCTGTAAAATAGGAATAATGAGGCTGTGATGAGGGTTGTGTTGCTTTTCTTTTTGAAACAGAAACAGGAAAGTTGCAAGTAGAGAGGTTCCCGCCCCTCCCCCAACTGTCACAGTATGTGCTGCCTTGATGTGCGTCACCCCAAAGAGTTAGGGTGAGTTTCCTACAACAGTGAATACACTGTTAACCACAAAGCAACCATCCAGTCAGAATAGCACAGGCCCTTCGCTGACGCCTAACCCACAGGCCTGATCAGGGGCCCTTTTCAGCCAGTCCTTTCCCCGCTGGGAATGGGTCTCGTGTCTTTAGTCCCTGCCATCTGGGCCAGTTCCTCTGTCTGACATTTGAGATCTCAGGTCCATGATGCAGCACCCCCTGCTGTGGGTTTCTGAAGTTACCCCTTGTCTGGACTCAGAACTCTTGGCCAGGGGCACCACAGAAAGCAATGAGGGCCTGTATCCTGCCTGGGCTGCGTCCTGCAGAAGGTCTTGGGGAGTGGTTGAGTGGTGGTGTGGGGTAGTTGACCTACATCATGGCTGTGGTTTCTTGTTTATTCAGTGGATTTCAGTTCATTACTATTAGGTCTAGTAATAATTAATGTCGTTTTCTAATACTTTTTAAAATCGAGTTTATTTAAACAATACAACAAAATTTAATCAACAATATAGTTGCCGTTGTTTTCTACTATTGTGCCCAACGCTCAGGAAGCATTTTAATCCCTCTGTTGTAAAATTCTTATTTTGATGCAAAAAATTCGGTCAATGCATTTTTGAGGCATTCTTCATTATTAAATTTTTTTCCAAGAAGGAAGTTTTGCAAAGAATGAAACAAATGGTAATCGGAAGGGGCAATATCAGGAGAATATGCAGGTTGAGGGAGAACTTCCCATTCCAACTGGCGCAGTTTTTCAGCAGTGATTCTTGCAGTATGCGGTCGTGCGTTATCGTGAAGAATTACGCCCTTCCGATTAATCAGCGCGGGTTCTTTTTCTCTTAAAGCTTGGGCTAACCTTTCCAATTGGGCACTATACACTGCACTTCTAATGGTTTGGTTAGATGGTAAAAGTTCATAATGAAGAATTCCTTTAAAATTCCACCAAACACACAACATCACTTTTTTCGCATGCAAGTCAGGTTTTGGCGTGGGCTGCAGAGCCTCATTTTTGTCCAACCATTGAGGCCGCCTTTTCAAATTAACATACAGCACCCATTTTTCATCTCCGGTAACAATTAGCTCTAAAAACGGCAAACGGTTTTGACGAGAGAGGAGCGAACTGCAAATTGTGACTCTTTGATTACGGTTGTTGTCGGTCAACTCATGAGGAACCCATTTTCCAAACTTTTGGACTTTGCCCAGTGCACGCAATTGATTGGAAATTGTTTTTTGTGAACAATTTAAAGTTGTCGCAAGCTCTTGTTGGGTAATTTGAGGATTTTGCACCAAAAGAGCTTGAAGAGCTTCTTGATCAAAATTGGACACACGGCCTCGACCACTCTTGTCATCTAACGAAAAATTTCCCTCGTGAAATTTCTCAAACCAACGCTGGCATTTTCTGGCTCTAACTGCATCTTGACCAAGAGCACTACAGATGTTTTTTGCAGCCTCACTTGCTTTTCTTCCTAATTGGAACTCGTAAAGCATGCAGTGCCGAATATGCTCTTCACCCGCCATCTTCTTAGCCCTAGTTTTGCAACAAAAACCAAACCAAACACAAACTTTTTCAAGCAAAACTTGTTAATTGCACTT